ACCAGGCAGAGAGAGAGAGAGAGAGAGAGAGAGAGAGAGAGAGAGAGAGAGAGAGAGAGAGAGAGCAGCCTACTTTGGCTTCTGCTCTGTGGCAGTTAGCACTGAAGCAACCAAGTGTAGAACGCTGTAGTCAAGAAAGCAAACAGAAACCCTAATTACTGAAATTGAGAAAGAAGAAAGAAAATGTTCCAGGACAACAGATTCTTCTTCTTCTTCTTCTTCTTCTTCTTCTTCTTCTTCTTCTTCTTCTTCTTCTTCTTCTTCTTCTTCTTCTTCTTCTTCTTCTTCTTCTTCTTCTTCTTCTTCTTCTTCTTCTTCTTCTTCTTTGTCTTCTTCTTCTTCTTCTTCTTCTTCTTCTTCTGTCAGCAGGATCTACTGAAAAATGTTCTTGGACATCCTAATAAAATCTTTTTTTTTCTTTCTTTCACTCAAGTCTGTCACCAAGGACATCATCTTCAGAGGCTGGGCTATTAGAAAGTGGGACTGTGTCTGCTCCAAGCCCATTCCCTGTCTTAAAGCCATTCGAAGTCATTCTGTTTGAAATTATATTTTCAGTTCCTCACAAGTGGGATTTCACAACCCAGTGAAGGAAGGCAGGGACCAACAATAATCTATCGCCTTTGGTTTTTATTTCTTCTGAAACAACTGTCTCCTACAGCGAGGCGCACTCCGAGAGTCTAGTGGTCTATTCGCGTTCTCTGCCCGCGGCTCTTTGGCTTCTTGGCCAAACTAAACATGCGATGCTTGTTGACATACATCTTCAGGAAAGGGCTATTCTCTCCGTCGTCCCTCTCCTCCTTCTCCACCCCTACCCACCTCTCCTCTGGTTTGAGTTGCTACACCATAAAGCTTCGTGAGATTCAAGACCTTGTGTGTTTGCTGAAGGTGAGGAGATGTGGAAGAGGCCTGCGATCCCCTTGTTTACCGATCCCCTTGTTTACCGATCCCCTTGTTTACCGATCCCCTTGTTTACCGTTACTGCCTGCGGGAGAACAGCCAGCCAGTGGCTTACCTGTGCATCGGTGAGGCCCAGCATCGCTGCCAGCTGCTTTCGGTCTGGCTTCGTCACATACTTCTGGATCTCAAACCTCTTCTCCAGGCCCTTCCTTTGCAGGTTGGAAAAGACGGCGCGGGACCATGAGCGTTTCCGCTTGTATGTCTGCGGCATGGTGTCCTTGGTGAGCACAGCATAGGGACCTGACAACCAGCAGGAAGACAGGCTCAGGACCGTGATAGTGTTAGTATGACTGCAGCCTGTGGGCCTCTGACTCTCATGAATAGTTAAAGGTGTTTTGAGTTCACAGTCTCCTCCCAGGTCCTTTCATTTGTGCTGGGGTGGCCTAAGGAAGAATTCTTTTCTCCCCCCACCCCTCAGATCTTCTCAGGACCACTTTAGGCCTAAAGCCGGGGAGAGCTGGCTACTGCCTGAATTCATTCAAGAGAAAGACATAAACTAAACGCACAGTCACCGACATGTTAAAATAGCTGGAACTGTCCCTGGGGCTTCAAAGACCTGCCAGTGACAGTCCTACAGTCCTATAAGCCCCCCTCATTTGTCTTCCAGAGGAGATGTAACCAACCTAGCAAAAGTAGATGTGTGAAGTGTTTGTTTGAAGAGTGAGTATGAGTGTGTGTGTGTGTGACCCACATCTTTGAATGCCTCATTTTCAAACCACCCTCTCTGAACGAAAAGAATAGGAGCAGTGGCCCACATACACACTATCCTGGCCCCCCTCTCTTCTCCAACGGTCCAACTAAAAAGAACATTCAGTTTGTCTCATAGGACTTGGCTCCTACCCGGACTATGGGGTTTCCGCCCTTTGCGGCATCAGACCCAGATTTCTAACGGTCGGCCGCTGGCCACCAGATTCAGAGACTCAAGGACTGAACTCAGTGAGTTTTCTACCTGGAAATGTGTCTTGGAATTGATGCTGAACAGAATTTCTTGGGTTGGAGCTTAAGGGGCTGAGGATAGCAGATGCCTCGTTAATGGGATCTAGCGACGCGAAGAACTGTCCAGCCGAAGGCTGCAGACCAGCTAGGTGCACCCCTGCAGGCCGCCCACCGGTTAGCAGCGATGTGAGATCTGGGTGGCGGGAAAGAAGAGTCAGTTATGTCTTAGACAAACTCATACCCTCCCTTCCCCTCTCCTTTGACGAAGTTTTATCCGGTTGAAGTCAAGAAAGACCCCCATATCCACAGGAAGCGCTTTCCTGACAGCCGCCAAAAGTGGGGCCTGAACCGCCCCTGCATGTCAACCATGTCCAGTCTACCCCCCCTGCGTGTCAACCATGTCCAGTCTACCCCCCCAGCAAGAAAAAGATTTTCATAAAATGGTGCTAAGATGCCCTTACTCTGCCTTCTCCCCTCAGGCGCTTAGACTAGCAGTTTTGCTTCCCCACAATTCTTGGGAAGAATTTTACTGGAAATCAGATAAATGCAAAATGTCCCCACGCTGAGATTTCCCTATGAGAAAAATCTATGTCTTTCTGTAGATAGTCTTCCAAAAGATGGATTATACCCACCCACTTTTGAAAAAGTTTACAGCAATCAGGGTGTTCATACGTGCCCTGTGCTGTTTAAGCATCCGAAAAGTTATTTTTTACATAGAGTAGTTGAGTTTTAAATGTCTCATAGTTATCTCACAGTTTATTCTCTCTCATTCTACTGATTTGTCCTTAAATGTAAAAGCACACACACAAAAATAAAATAAAAGAAAGAAAGAAAAGAAAAGAAAAAAACCCGCCTGGGACCAGAGCCCTTGTGAGTAGTTATGAGGCCTGAAGCCTCCCAACGGGACATACCTCTCAGAGTGTTGCCTTCCTTGACTTTTGGATCAAACTCTGAAGACAAAATTCGGTCGATTCCAAATTTGAGGTCTTTGCTGGAGCGGGCAGGGGCGGAGCCGCTATGGTGGGGGACCACCCGCGTCCCCGAAGCCGGCGGCTGCAGGGAGCCGGCCCGGGATGGAGGCGGAGGCTGTTGCTGCGACTGTTGCTGCGGCGTTGGCTGTTGCTGAGGGAGATGCTGGTGGTAGGCGGCCGACAGCGGGGACAGCCGCTGAGGGAAGCCGGCCGGGACTTCCGAAGGCGCCACCACCGGGGTGGGACGGAGCGGGGATCTGGTGGCAGCTTGGAAGGAGGCGTGGGGGTGCACGGAGCCCAAGTGCGCGGTGAGGGCGGCGGAGGCCCCCACCAGTCCCTCTGCAGCGGGCCCGGGCTCCCCGACGCCGGCGTGCAGGATGTCGGCGATGCAGAACGAGGGCTTCTTGACAGCGGCGGGGTCCAAGGGGAAGGAGCAGCCGCCCGGGCCGGCCGAGGAACAGTAAGCGGCTGACCAGAGGCTAAAGTTGGAAGCGTAGAAGGGAGCCAGGCCGGCCGCGAACATCCTGGCAGGATCCTGGCCGGGTCCTGGGTGAGTGGGTACGTGGGTGGGGGCTTGGGGAGAGGCGGTGTCCCAGCCAAGCCCGCTCTGCTTTCGGTTCTCCGCCCGCACTGAAGCAGAGGGCCAGCGGGGAGCCCTGGCGCCACCGAAAGAGGAGGCGAGGGCCCGGTCGCCTCCCGCCACCGCCTGGGCCCCTGGCCTGGCTTGAAAGGCGGCGCGGCGAGCGCGCTCCCCGCGGGATGGAGGCTGTCGCCGGGTGCTGGAGCGGCGAGGCGGGCGCGGCCTCGCTCCGCCACTCCGGAGAAGCCGGGAGGACGGGGACCCGAGACACCGAAAGAAAAACCCAAACAGCTAAGCCCTGAGAGCTAAATTTAAAACAACAATAATGATCCGTTACTTTAAAAAAATTAAGAAGAGAAAAAAAAAAAAGAAAAAGAAAAAACTCCTCTCTAAAAACTCCCAAAGTTTTGGCAAGAGCTTTCGAGTCAGACCCCGGGTAGGACCTTGATCCGCGAGCTCATTGGACGTCTTTGTGACCAATGGGACTCAGGAGTGGAGGGGAATTGGGAAAGAGGGGGCGTGGCCCACCCTCGGCCACGCCCTGGCCACACCAAAGTGTTTTCTGCGGCCGCGTGGGCTGAGCTAAGTACTGCGCGTCCCTGGGAGCCGCTTGGGGGCGGAGAATCGGCTCCTCCGGCCTCTGGCTGTCCTCTAAGCCCTGCAGCTCGGGGACCGCCACCGGGAGAGAGCAGTCGGTCTCCAGAGGGGAGCGCTGGGACTCCCAGGCTCGGCAGTCACGAACAGCTTCTCTCCCTCCCCCCCCAGAACAGACGCGCGGGTGGCCTGTAGGCTGTCCCTTCTATTTTCTGCTTTCACGAGACTCTCTCTGCTTTTATCCCAAGTTCTAGTGTCCTAGGCAAAGGCCCCATCTTTTCTGCAACCCAGAATCCCGGCCCAAATCCGCAATCCGTCCGCCTCCGAGCTCACAGGAGCCAGAGGAGGACCGGCCGCAAATTACTTTTATTCTGAGCTGTCACTCCAGTGACAACTTGAAAGAGTGACTTTTCAAACAAAACAAGATAGATGGCTCCAAACGTCTCCCTTGGACACATCCAAACTTTTGCCCCGAGCCTCGGAAACAACAAAACGGGCTTTCTCGCCAGGCCCGGGAGAGCTGCACGCGAGTCCCCTCCCTGCACCTTGTAGGAAGTGCCACCCTTCGTGGCCACCACATCCCCGGGTCACGTGGGTCCGATATTTTGCAAGTGCCTGGGAGCGGTTGCCTTTGAGATTAAATACCTACTTTCAATTCGGTGGCGGTTTTTCCAGGATCCGCTTTGGCCTGTTGGCGGGAGGCGCTGTCCGAGCCGCCACAGCCAGAGCCTTGCATTCTAGCCGGGGTCTTTAGAATTCTGGGTAGGTGTAGCGGGGGTTTTCTGTCGCATCGACATCTCTATTTTAAAAATTCGTTCTCTTTTAAATTATAGTCAGAATGGATTTCCCCGCCCCCTCCCAAACAGACCACGGGCCACCCGGATGAGCTGTTCTTGCAGGTTTTCAGGAAGAAAATAAAATAACAATAACGAAACCATCAAATCCTTTGTTTTCGATTGTATAAATAATTGTCTCCTAAATGAGGTTCCAAGGCATGTTTATTTCTCCTCAACTCTAAGACGAGCCAGGTTGTTATCAGCTCAGGATTGGCGTGGGCTCCCGAGTTAATTAATGTCTAGCAGCTTCGTGCCCCTTCTTCGGCGACGTCGTCATCATTAGCGGTTGCCTTTCTCCTGGACCACAAACATCGGCTAATCAGTCACAGGATCTACAGCCCCTGAGATTTGTCCTCTCTTTCTGGTCTTTCCCTGGTTTACCACCCTGTCACAGAAAGGCTCCCCGGCCCTCACTCCCGGCATCAGGGACAGAGGGGGACAGACAGTCGAGGGCAGTGGTGCCTGGGGGAGAGGGGCCGGATGTCATGTCTAGCAGGAGGTGGACTTGCAACAAGTACAAGGCCACCGAGGTGACACTTTGGCTAAACGTTCTGGTGTGAGAGAGAAGCGGTTCGTTAATCTCACCGAGGTGCTTAGGGAAAGCAAGTCACAACCCCGGAGGAGAGGGCGTCTGGGCTCCCCTGTTCTCTCTTTTCTGGAAGCTTTGTAATCCGGCTGAGATTCCAGTTTGAACACGGGCGTCCAGACAGCGAGAGGCCTACACCAAAGGCTCCGTTCAAAAGAACTTAACGCTTCACCCAGACGCCTGCACCTTCGCCTCCTCCGCTAGGAATGAAAGGCTCCCCTTCTCCTTTTTTATTTTTTATTTATTTTTTTGCACGGTTTGAGACCCACTGAACGGGAGGTGAGTGCAGAACCCGACCGCTCTAGGTATCTGGCAGTGTCCACAGCCGGATCTGGGATCTGCAGCGCCTTGAAACCAGGAGCGCCCGCCCGGCGGCTCAAAGGCAAGGCTGTGAGGGCTTCTTTCCCCGGCTGCGTTCTCCCCGGCTTGCGGCATCATTATTGCAATGGTTGCAGCCCAAGCGCAGCCTCACCCACTGCGGAAGGCCTAATCGGAGCTCATAGGGGCAAACGCCAAAGGGGGAAAAATGTCAGAAAGAAAAAAGAAAAAAAGGCAGCCTTTGGGTAGGTGGGTCTTTCTTGCCCCAGGCTCAAGCCTCACCCCTGCAGGCCTTGGTGGGAGCCCGTGCACGCTGCCCTCCTCTTTACCCCCTACCCTTCAGAACCGAGAAAGCAGCAGGAAACCCAGGGCTCGCAGGAGTTCAGGTCATCTCCTGTTTTTTTGATGGGCTCAAACTTGGACTAAATGAGCGGATATGCCTGCGAGATTGGTCTCAAAATAGAAGCGGTCCTAGTATTTTAGGATACTGCAGAAATCCTTATTTCTTCCGGAGAAAAACTCTATAATGACTCCTAGCACTTCCCCTTTCAATATTTGTGCAACTTTATCTCCACCGGCAAGTTGCTGTGGTGACGCAAATCCGCTCTTCTGTATTACAACTTCCAAAATAAATGCACGGAAATCAATTCCCCTCTAGCAATGAAAATATAAGTCTGCAGCTGTGACTTTCGCCTTTAATCTTTGCTTTCCGAGCGGTTCGGGACTGTGGCGAAATGAACTAGCCCAGAGTTGTTGTTGCCTGAGCAGGGAGGCCCTAGGGGCAGAGGCGTGGACTCCCGGGGGACCTTGTAACCACCTGGGATAGAAATGGGCCCGATTAAATCAAATTACTTGAACTTAGTTCACACACATGCGCGTCCATCTAAAAGGTCGAAAATTTTGAGCACCGTGCGTGGGGCGCCTGCTCATTTGTGATTGGCGTCTATAGACCTGCAAACAACCCACTTTGTCTTTTCCAGAGAAGACACACAGCCAGAGTATTTCACAGTACCAAGAGGAGTCAAGGTCTAGGCAGGTCCCTTTATAATTTGACAGTGCGGTTTGTGAACATTTAAGATGGAGGAAAGCAGTGGGTGCAAATGCAATTCTCAGACAAGAGAAAGGTCTGGTTTCTCTTCAGTTCTCTCGTGCTCAAAGGGAGCAAATTCTTGCTTTAAACCCAAGGAAGATTATTGTAGGAAGATAACTCCAGGTGGGCTTGTACTAGCTGGATCTTCGAAGGGATTTGGGGACTATAATATATAAAATTATTCCTATCTCTCAGGGGGACTCCCTCCCTAGTTCACTTTAAAAATTCTTTCAAACAGGCTACTTACTTTTTGTTTTCTTGTTTGTTTGTTTGTTTGTTTTGGACCAAGAAATAAATATTCGCAGTCAAAATGGGGGAGGAAACACAGAATAACCTGGATTTAAGCATTTGAGAGATTCTATGCACAACACGGTGGGAACCCGTGTATGTGTGCCCATTACTCCGCCATCCGGGAACCTGTGTGTGGTGTGTCACTCCACCAGCTGGGGTTTAATTTATGGGCTGCAGGCCCAGCTCATGCTTAGTGGTGAATGCTGGACTTTTTTTTCCTTGTGGGTTCTAGATAGTACAATTCAGTACATTTACAAGGGGGAGGTATTCCAATAGGCTCACCTCCCGTTTTCTGAGCTCCTTGGGGTTGCTCTGGTTTGAGGAAACTGGACTTTCTCTGAGGTGGGAAGAGCAGCAGCAGCCTGTAGCACTAGTAACCGTTTGATTCTCCACACACCCCGCCTCCCTTCCAGGTGTGCCAGGCCCTCTGCTAACCTACCCTCTCCTGGACCCTGATCTCCCCCTTTAAATTTTGTTTATCCCATAGGTCTGGCACCCACATCTTGAAGCCCTTTGGGTCTGGTCCTGTTTGTTCATTTCTGGAGGATGGGGGGAAGGGGTTCTCCTGTTTCTAGGATGTGTCACTTCATAGATATGAAGACAGTCTTCCCTCTTCCTGCCCCCTCATGTCACACCCCCTTCCCCCGGCTCTCCCCACCTTCCCTTGGAGATGGGGAGAGGAGTGACAGCTGAGGTAAGCAGTTTGAAACGCCTCAGACCTCAGGTGAGCTAGGGTAGAGCCCACCACATCACAGAACTTTGTAGCATTGAAGTACACCCTTTTGCAGAGAGGACACGTTCAGGGAGGACAGGTACAGACTGCGAGGCCATCTGGTACTCCAGGTGCCATTCACTCTTCATCAAGTGTGTCAAGTGTGCTCTCCGGTCCCCAGGGATAGTCATTTACTAGATGCTGGGTTTGTTTCCTGAATCACTACATCTGAGTAGTTTGCTCTTGAAGGAAAAGAAGCAAGTTTAGGTACACTAAATCAATAACACTACATTTAAAACACACCTGCCACCCGGGGAAGGGACCGTCATTCCAGAGCAGTACTTCTTTAAGGAAACACACAGTGCAAAGAGAACCAGGATGGTTTTGGCAGGCTGCTCCATCCGGTGACAGACAGGGGCCCCCAAACTCACTCTTCATCAATAAGCTCATGCCTCCATGGTGGGATTAATTCACATGTGGAGGACTCGGCTCTCGTGACCCTGTTATGGTAGGAATGTGAAATATTCCTACATGTGGCACCCATAGTCCCCACCTGGTGGCATTATTTTGGGAGAAAGCCTAAACTTTAGGAGGTGGGGTCTAGCTGCAGAAAGTAAGTCACTGAGGGCCTGCCTGCTTCTAGGTTCTATGGACAAAAGATTTGAGGCAGGAGTGGGAAGAAACCAGGGGATGGGTAAGGATCCTGTAGACTGAACCGATGGTGCATCTCCCTCTCAGAGCTCTCAATTTGCATCCCCACCCCACCCCCCAACTGGAGCAGCTGTGGAATTATAGCAGACTCCACCAGCCCCGGCTCAGTGCAGCAGACCCACGTATCTTTCCCTTCCCTCTGCTGACACCTGCTGGACCATCCCTGCACCAGCAGCATTGGGGGAATGAAAGATGATAGCGGCTGTGATCTAGTTTCCTTCCCTGTTGAGCATGGGAAGCCCTTAGGTCCTGTGTTAAAAGTCACCAGACAGGGTGAGGGAATTAGTCATCCACCACCACCAACAGGACACTGCCCTGTTCACAGGTAGCATCTCACCTACTCTTTAAAATAATGGGCCACTGGGGTGTGGGGGAGACAGAGTGTTTTGGGCTTAGGAAACTGATACTCAGAGAGGTTAAGTGGCTTGTCCAAGGTTACAGTTGTTAGGAAATGGTGTTTCAAGGAGTGGGGGCTTGCACTCTGAACCGCCTCCATCCACACCATCCAGCACTAAGTGGTTGCATAGGATTTCAATGTCTTTCAACTACATAATGTGAATAACCTTTCACTTCTGAGGCCCACAATCATACAGAGAGAGAGAGAGAGAGAGAGAGAGAGAGAGAGAGAGAGAGAGAGAGAGAGAGAGAGAGAGAGAGAGCACATATCACAGCCTATGTGCATATGTCTGAGTGTTAAGTAACACTTGTCTCTTGAGACAGAAGAGGTAGAAAGGTGGGCCCAGAATCATAATCCTGCTAAGCATTGTCCCACAGGCTCTGCCTTGCTTCAAACTGTCCTCACGAAGATGGAAATGGCATCGAATGTGTGTGATGAGGAGGACCGAAATGGGCAGGTGGGGGGCTGAGAGGACCCTGGGTGACTCCACCCTTAGACAGATCCTACCGCAGGACATTTTCTTTATCTTGCTGAAGAAATGTGCACAACATTCCCTTCTTCATTGTTCTGCTTTCTGAGGTAACCCACCACCAACTGCAGTCGGAAAACATTAAGGGGAAAAGTCTGGAAATCAACTATCTGTGTGCAGCCCCAAGTATCATGGTGAAGTCTTGCACCATCGGCACCATCCTGCCCAGAACACAAATCATCCAGCCGTGATGACCTGCCTATTGGCCAATGCTGGCCATTTCGCAGTCCCCCAGGTTATCTGATCATCTCTGGGAGTACCAAGTGTCTGTGATGGACTGAAACTTCCCCATTAGCCTTGCATGCACGGTGCTGCTCCCTGGTTTGTCTCATCACATAGGTACTGTGTCTCACACCTTCACCAGGAAGATGAACGTAGAACAGTGAGGTCCTTCTGAAAGACAGACCACACACGTCCTGGCTGGTGAGGTGAGCAGAGGCCGTGTCAGCCATGGACTGGAACTCTAAAAATGAGTCGAAATAAGCCTCCTGTTTAGATTGATTACCTCCTGTATTTTGTTACAGTAGCATGAAGCTAGCACAGCCACTATGAACAGTTTTACTAAAGATGTATTGTGGTTGTGGTGTGTGTGTGTGTGTGTGTGTGTGTGTGTCCATTTTCAATTTACAGCCTGCTTTTGATAGACAGGCCTGGAAGTAGGAA